TAGGATGTGCTCAAGAAAATGCTGAGTTATGGGCCAGTCCTGTGGCTTAGTGGTTAAGGGAGAAAGATCTCACATGGATAACCACAGTTTCCAGCCCTGATAGCCTGGAAAACACAATGATACAGTGCCCTGAATCCTGATGGGATGGAAAAGTGGAGGAGGGATTGTGATGTGACCATGCTATATTGGGAAGTGCTTTCTCTCTTTTCTCTGTCGCTTTTTAATGAGCACACATGCTCTTTGGCAATTAAAAAGAGAGAGAGAAAGAGAGAGAGAGAGAAGATAAGAGGATGCTGTGTTAGTTATAGACACACAGAAAGGGGAACAGTGGAAAGCCCCTTTATTGTAGTTTCTGCAGTAAAGAATGGCTGAGGCAGGGGTAGCAAGTTTAGGACTGGCTAGTTTCAATTATTTCAGTGGTCTGTAGGATATGGGGGTTGTTCCTAGTTGTCTACCTCCCAACCTTGGGGTGACTAGGGCAGGTGGATAATGGCTTACAGTGTGACAGCCTGATAAAAGGAGGTGGTTGGGGTGTGTGCTATAGATAGGTGGGTTTGTATTTGAAAAACATGGTCATGAGGGAGCTGTTTACTATCTCAAAGAATTAGCCAGCCCTGGGAAGGGCAGTACCTCCAGGAGTAAGCAAGAGCCTAGATGTCAAAGCTTCAGACTACATAAAACAAAGACATTGGCTCTAGCAAGGTGTATGTCCTGCTTGGTTTTATTAGTGTTGTTATTTTGTTTGAATCTCACATGTTAGTGACAATCATGCAGTTGGCTGGCTGCTCATCCCTGCCATTTCATGGCCTACTAGACCAACACTGTCCTTTGTTTGAGATAAGCAGTGACAGCTATGGGCTAATTGCCCCACAACTACATTTTGTAATACTCAGGCAGAAGATTTAGGTCTTGGGAATGGGGCAGATTAAATGCTGTCACATGGCCTCCAGAACTACACACACCGAGGCAAACTATACATAATCCTATTATAAAGGATTAACTAGAAAGGGGAGGCAATCCTAAATGTCTGTTGGACATTTCTTTTAAGGGAGTCCACTCAGCCTGGCTAAGGGAGTAAAACTGAATAGAATTATTAAAGTCTATCTATTTTGGGGGCCAGGAGATGATGTAGTAGTTACAGTGCTAGATTCCCACATGGCCACCCGCAGTTTGAATCTTGGACTTGGTGGCTTGAAACTCACGCCAAAGCGCGTGTGCGTGCATGCCCAAGATCCTGTGGAGAAAGGATTGTGGTGTGGCCATCCCCCGTGGAGGGGGGTGATTTCTCACTTTCCCTCTTACTATCTCTGTCTCTCTCTCCAGGGAGTGCATGTACCCTAAGGCAAAAACTTCTAAAAAAAGAAAAAGTCTATCTATTTTTAAATTTCCTCTCTCTGTCAACAAAGGAGGAGTCTGTTTCTGACCACTAAACTCAATTGGGCTGTCAACAGGAAAACCTACTAAAAGCCTTTGTAGGTAGCTTGGGCTTCCTCACAGCATGACAACTGAATTTAGAGTATGAGTATCTGACATGCAGACATTCTAAGATGCTAAAAATTGAAGGAGCTGGTCTTCTTATTGGCCAGGCAGGAAACTGTGATGCATCACTTCTGCCCCATTCAGTTGCTTAAGCAGTCATTGGGCCAGCCCTGATTCTAGGAGAGGGGAAACAAATTTCATCTCTCGATAGAAAGTGACAATGAATCTGCAGTCTTCTTCAACCTCCCATACAAAATGACACTCAACACAAGAGAAACCCTTTTCTTTCTTTTTTTAAAATTTTATTTATTTATTTATGTTTTATCCCACAAGTTTAAGAAATGGGGGGAAAATAGCTTGGCCTATATCAGGGCCAAAGCCACAATTTGATGCTGATGTTTTATTTTTTCCCCCTTTCTTTGAAAAGGTAGCATTTTATTGTTTATCCTTCATTCATAATTTTGGCAAGATGTGCTGAAGTCCATGTGTTTTTTCATTAATCACATTTGGAACTCTGGGCACTTTTATCTGCAAACCAAGTCTTTTGTCAAACAAGCAAAGTTTCAATTATGAGTGTGATTAACTCCCTTCCATCTGTTCCAGCTTCTCCATCTGGAATTCCTATTAGTCTCACTTAGGTCTCCTAGATCTGGCTTTGAAATGCTTTTATTTATTTTTTTTCTGTTCACGATTTCTATTTCTGTATTGTTCTTTCTGTTTTAAGAGAGATCTCTAGTGAAGAGATTTTTTTTTTAACCTCATCTTCCCAGTCACCAACTCAATTGTCATCAATAAGTATTGTCTTGTGTTTCTCTATACTACAGGGTCCTGCCAACTCTATCTTAAGCTTCTTTCTTTTTCTTTCTTTTTTTTTTAAGAGAGAGATTTTTACTATAGAGTGCATGATGTGCTTGCCAGAGAGACAGAAAGTAAGAAATCACTCCCTCCCTCTCCCCCGTGGGAGATGCCCATGCTGAAATCCTGTCTTTTCCATTCTCTTTTCAGGATTTTGGGCACACATGTACATGCGCCTAGTGTGAGTTTTAAGCCACTGAGTCTGGGACTAAAACTGCACGTGACTACATGGAAGTCCAGCAGCATAACCATTATATCATCAGCTGGTTCCTAAGTTTATTTATTTCTTTTGTGAGAATGAGAGACGGAGAGAGAGAGAGAGAGAGAGAGAGAGAGATAAAGACGAATGCCCTCAAGAGGGCTCCATGGCATAATATAATTCTCCTACCCCACATCCAGTCCTCTGCCACCCAGGATCACACGGCTGAGGTACACATGCCCTGTGTGTACACATCAACCAAGGAACCAAACCCAATGAGCTACCACTGTGCTACAGAGCCAGCCTTTTTTTTCAATCCCTAAATTTCATGTAATGCTTTGTAGTGTGTGTGTGTGTATGTGTGTGTGTGTGTGTGTGTGTGTGTGTGTGTGTATAATGTATATACACATATATCTCTGCTTACATTTGGCATGTATGAAGATCAAGTAAATGAATATGTTCCTCTTTTGCAATATTAGGACATACAGTTCAAAACTAAGCCTCTCAGTTTTTTTTTTAAGGTTTTTGCCGTAGGGTGCATGTCCTCACTGGAGAGGAGACAGACAGTGGGAGGGAAAATGAGAAATCAGCCCCCAGGGGAGGTGGCCATGCTGCAATCCCCTCTTTTCCATTCTCCTCACAGAATTTTGAGCACTTGTGCCCAGCATGATTCTCAAGCTAATAGGTCTGAGACTCAAACCATGGTTGACCATGGAAGAGTCTAGCACCCTAACCACCATGTCACCTGCTGGACCCTCCTCAACATGTTATTTTTAATGAAGGATTAATGCTTTGAAATAAGATATAAGCTCATAAAGATGTACACATCCCATAAAAGTGATATTATGTGCACTATTCAAAAACAGTAAAATTATATTCTAATAGAAATACAAAGAAGCAACAGATAAGATGGTCAAAATTATTATATACATGCTCCTTGGCGATTAATCCTATGTGAGATTAATCTGAGTCTGTGACTATAATTATGTACTTGAATAAATAATCCACTGTGTGCATTGAGTTACTGAGAATAAAATCAGAGAGTGGAGTCAGGATCCAAATCTTCTGAACAGTAATTAGAGTCCTTATTCCAGTGTAGCAATCAATACCTTAAAGTTCATTTAAAGTTACCCTTATGGTAGGGGAGTGGGAAATAGTCAAGTCTTCTTTCTAGCAGTCATGTCCCCTGCCCACTTTCTGCTCCCCGGCCTGCCAGCCACTGAGGAGAGGTAGGCTTGAAGTCTGGGAAGGTTAAGACCTATCTCCCTGCACTGTCATAAGTCAGCAGCCTCACTCTCTAGTCTTGCTGAATTTTCAGAGCTAAGTTGGTCTCTGGAGGATCTTATATGGTTTTTCAGAGGTTCTCCCTCTTGGAGTATCAAACTGCAAGTACTTGGGCAAGCCTTACCTACCAGCTGGTCCTTCATGAAACCTTCCTTGGCTTCCGTTTTCTAAGATACAACCTGGAACAACTTGTAGCTTTATTCATGGTGCCCCTGCCAGAATATATTTCTAGTGAGATCTTTTCACAAAGGGCACCAGACCAGAAGCTGCTGTGGAATATACTCTACCCATAGGAATCATGTCTGCTGGACTCAGTGTTTTGCCTCCTGATGCGCCACTGGAGTAATTTCCCACCATACCGAAAGCTCCCACTTCTACCCACCACCTTGAGTCTTCTCAGTGTGAGACACATGGTCACTCTGTCAAAGCTGTGAGAGTTATGAACTATCTGAGCCTGTGAATGGTAACAATCATTCCACCAGCATTGGCACAGTGAGTGGAAACTGACCAGAGGTAACCTTTTCAAGTGACTGGCATTATAGTAACATTCAATATATCAAAGAACTATTCGGCATTAATCCGTCTAGACTTTCTTCCCTATGAACTCATAAACACATGTATTGATTTGGGGTAGAATAGAGCCACAGTGCTTTAACCTCTAGAGGAGCCTGTGATGGTCCATCGGTTACCTTGAAGGCATGGGCTCTCCCTCCCTCCTTGGTTTCATTGAGGCCATCACTATGGATTGGCTATTATACAAAGGTTCTTGTGTGAGTGAGGTCCCAGGCTTCTGTCCAGCAACACAACCATCCAGCACTGGACAAGCAGAGCAGCAGCACACACCTCTGTAGTGAAAGCAAATGCCATAGAGCTATCAACACATGTGTTTTTTATTCTCTGTATTAGAAGCTTCTTCTTGGACTGATTCCCTCTTGCTGCTCATATCCTTTCTAGTCATGGATAAATTCAAATTAGCATCCTTAATATATTCTGACTCTAGATACAATTAGTGAATGAAGGGATTTCAAAAAGTTTCCAAAAAAAATAGAATTAAAGTATAAGTTTACTTTGGTATGAAAACAGTTTGAAATTTATATATAATTTTTTTCATAATGCACATTTCCATGGACTTTCTGAAGACCCCCCCCCACCCATATCATTACCAATCTGTTAGGATTGCCTGGTTTATAAATCCACAAAGCTTATGGTCAGGTTGAGAATGTGGCTAGCAGAGCCAACATATAAGAGGTGCAGTCTTCATTATTGATAGAGAGATGTGGCCAGAAGTAGGGCTTTAATGTTATAGTTCATAAAAGTTCATCACCCTCAAACTTCAGAAGACAAATGTCAAGCTCTCAGAGATCCTTTTTAGTGCTATTTTGCCTGGGCTGGAGATGAGGATAAGCAACCCTTCTCTTCCTTCAGGCTGTTGAAAAACAGAAAGGGGAAAAGATGTTGTATCCCTTTTAAACCCAAGAGATAGGTGGTGATGGGATCACCAGCCAGCTCCTTCACATGAATGACCTAGACTCTCACTATGAAATGTGGGAGAATTTGACATCTGTTGTTTTGTCTTCAGTATGCAGAGACCTTGCTGAAAACTTGAGACAAATAATCTCACTTCAATATCCTTTTGAATATTGCTATTTTTTAAATAAAAAGATATTTTCTTGAGGTTTTCACTATAGGGCGTGTGCGTTTGCCAGAAAGACAGAGAGACAGGGAGACAGAAAATGAGAAATCATCCCCCCAGGAAAAATGGGCATGCCACAATCCCTTCTCCTCCATTCTCCTCTCGGGATCTTGAGCACACATGCAAATGTGCCCAGTGTGAGTTTAAGCCCCTGGGTCTAGGACTCGAACCACGGTTGACTACATGGGAGTCCAGAGACATAGCCATCATGCCAACTGCTGGCCACTAAATAAAAAGATATTAAAATTTGCAAAAAAAGGGAAAACTACTCATGAAGCATTTATAAAACCAATGAACTATGAATAAGCAATAGAGTCCCAACTGATACTGTTATTAATACGCCCACTGATGTTTTAGTAAGTCAGTATTACTCAAAGCCATTTTGAAAGGGAAGAACAAAAGAAATTTACTCTTTTTGTTTGTGTTACTGAGATTACTGAAATAATTTTTAAAAATTTAAGAATCAATAGCTTGATTTATTTTTCAGGGAAATAAACTCACCTTCACAATTAGAATCTTTTCATTTCTACCTTAGGTATCACATTAACTTGATTATCTAGGTAGTTTTGTTTGTTTGTTTGTTTGTTTGTTTTTTGCTAGAGGGCTCATGCCCTTGCTACAGAAAGAGAGAGATAAGAAGAGGAAGAAAGTACTCCCCATGGGGTGTGGTCACACTGAAATTCCTCTCCATTTCTTCATCATGTTGGGATTTGGGGCATGCATGCACATGCACACACATGCACCAGGTGTGTTTCAGAATTCAAATCACAGGGTTGGTCATGTGGGATCTGGTTTTCTTAACTACTAGGCTATGGGGTTGCCCCTCTAGGAGGTACTTGATAAACAGCTTGAAGTATAAGAGATTCAAATTGACCTTAAATGTCTGACTCACCCTTAATTATTGATTGGAGATACGCCACCTGTCTCTGTGGTACCTTTATCACCTACAATAGCAATAATTAGTAATCCCTCTAATGCTATAATTGTAGAGAAATTTGTTTTTCATACTTCCTAACTTTATAAATGATATCAGATTTTCTCCTGGTCACCCTAATACATTTAAATATTTGTACAAGAGAAAAGCAGAATAGCATAAATGACGTAGCATGGTGCATTTTACGTAGCCTTAGTTCCACTGTTAGTTAGTATTTAACAAACTTACCAGTAGAAATAAGGCAAAATTCAGAAAAGGTTTTTAGGCTTACAGCCAAATATTAGATTAGTAAAAAATACAAAGATTAAAAGCATACAGCCCTGGCAAAAGCTTTGTGAAACAGGAACTGTAATGAAAAGTCTAATAAAATTATAAATTGTCATGAACTTGGAGAAAGGCAAATCATTTTAGAACATTTATTAACATTTAAAATTGTTACATACTATGACTCAGTTTTACAGAAATATCAGGTATCTTCAAAAAGTTTGTGGAGAAATGAATCAAAATATGAGTTTATATTTGTTGCAAAAAGATTTGAAATCCATGTATAGTTTTCACATAACATGCATTTCCACGAACTTATTGAAGATTCCTTCATAAACTCCTGCCATATAATTATGTTATCAGTCATTTCATTATCCTTTTTTTCTTTTTTTTTATACACGTGCACCAAAAACTTTTTTCTTCAAGGGAAAATTGGGCAGTGGCGTGGTGGCTAAAGGTGCTGGATTCCCACATGGTCGACCATGGTTAGAGTCCCAGACCTGGTGGCTTGTTTTCTCACTTTCCCTTTCTCTCTCTGTCTCTTGCTGGTCAAATTAAAAAATAATAACAAATGGGCAAATATGTAAAAGTGGTGGGCTGAGAATGTTTACAGAGCATTCTTCATGGCCTATCCAATTCCAAGAGAAGGTAGCTCTCATCCTAGAGACATTGATTTTGTGTTGTCCAAATTGCATTTCTTTGGATTGTTACGAATGAAAGTAATATTTTTTCAACATATTACTGACCACCAAGGGATTGGAGAACCTTTCTCTAATCTCCAACCATAAAGTTTTGATTTTCCTTAGTTTTTTTTTTTTTTTGAGAGGTTTTTGCTATAGGTTGTGTATGCCAGGCAGAAAGAGAGAGAGAGAAAGAAAGCGAGAAATCACTTTCCAGGGGTGGGGGATGGCCATGGCGCAATCCCTTCTCTTCCATTCTCTTTTCAGGATCTTGGGCATGCATGCACACGTGCCCAGCGTGAGTTTAAACCACCGGGTCTGGGACTCAAACCGCAATTGACTACATGGGTGTCCAGTGACATAGCCATTATGCCAACTGCTGGTCCCCCTTTTTTAAAGAGTCTGGAGAAATGAATCACATGGAATTCGAAGAAAGAGGTGAAAAATGCCAAAAAAGGCTACTTTTGGACAGATGAGAATCTAAAAAAATCTTCATCTCCATATGTAATACTTCTATCAAAATAATGTTCATGGGGGGAACCAGCAGTTAGCGTAATGGCTACGTCGCTGGATTCCCACGTAGTCGACCACGGTTCGCGTCCCGGACCCGGTGGCTTAAAACTCACGCTGGGCGTGTGTGTGTGCATGCCCAGGATCCCGAGAGGAGAATGGAGGAGAAGGGATTGCGGCGTGATCATCCCCTCTGGGGGGTGATTTCTCGCTTTCTGTCTCTCTGTCTCTCTCTGTCTGTCTGGCGAGCGCACGCGCCCTATAGCGAAAACTTCTCAAAAAAAAAAAAAAAAAAAACTAAAAAAAAAAAATAAATAATAGTGTTCATGGGTTTGAGTTCTCCATTTTCTCCCACTTTGCTCATAATTCTATCAAACGACCACCAGGTGGCAAGCTGTAGCTGGATGCTGATTAAATGGGGTTAACTGGGATTTGGGGTGTTTTGTTTTTCCATTCAGAACAGCTACTGCACTCCCTTCCTATGCCTGATATTCTTCATTAAAAAAAAATAATTAAAACAGGGTCTATAAAAATATTTCTTTTTTGGGAGTTTGCTATAGGCATGTATGCTCCCGGAGAGAGCCACAGAGACAAAGAGGAAAAATGAGAAACCCTACCTAGGGGAGATGGCCATGTTACAAATCCTTCTCCATTCTCCTCTTGAGATTTTAGGCATGCATACACATGTACCCAACGTGATTTTCAAGCTACCGAGTCCAGTACTAGATCCATAAAGTTGGCTATGTAGGATCCAGGGCCTTAACCTCCACGCCACTTGCTGGTCAATATTTTTCTTCTTTTAAAAATACTTATTCCAGTGCCAGCACAATGCTAAGCACTGTGTCTTGGGAGCTGGATACCACATGGCCAAATGTGGTTCTAATCTGGGCCCTGGTGTCTTGGAAAACATGCTGGGCATGTGTGCCTGAAATCCTGAAGAGATGAAAAAAATAAAAAGGAAGAAGGATCGCTATGGCATGACCATGCCGTATGGGAGATGCCTTCTGGCTTCCACTCTTTTGCTCCTTCTCTGTGTCTCTAGCAAGTACATGTACCCTCTAGCAAATTAATCTCTCTCTTTCTCTATATAGACACACATACACACACACACACACACACACACACACACACACACACATATTCCCTACCTCGGGCTGGATAAGCGAATGGATTCCTCCTCAATTCCCCTTCCCCAGCCCTATTGTTCTTAAGGACTGGCTCTTCAGAGATCTCCCATGCTTGCCTCCTGATGCCACCTTCTCTCTTCCCAGATCTGACTCCCAGGTCCATAGCCTAGTATCCCATTAATCCAGGAGGAGATTCCTAGTAGCACACTCCAAAAAGCAAGTCAACGCAAACCCAGCTAATGTTCAATTTGTCCAACTCACTTCTTGAATTTTCTATTTCCTGGGAGCATCAAGTCCACAAGCCAAGCATTTTCTCTATATTTTCTATTCATTTTCCCACAATTTACTGCCCCTAGCCTAAGTCTCTTTGTCATTTCTCCACAAATGTTATTTCTTTTCCTGGTTCCTTCATTCTTTCCTTTCTTCCTTCATTCTTTTCTTTCTTCCTTTTTTCTTTCCTTTCTTCCTTCATTCTTTCCTTCCTTCCTTTTTTCTTTCCTCTTTCATTTTCCTTCCTTCCTTCCTTCCTTCCTTCTTCCTTCCCTCCCCCGTCCCTCCCTTCCTCCTTTCCTTTCCTTTCCTTTCCTTTCCTTTCCTTTCCTATAAGGTGCATGCACTTGCAAGAAAGAGAAAAAGCAGAGGAGATGGTACACTGCAATCACTTCTATATTTTCCTTACACACGCCTAGCATGTTTTTCTAGCCACTGGGTCTGGGACTCAAACTGCACAGTCAGCCATGTGGGATCCAGCCACCTTAACCTCCACACCATCTGCTGGCCTTGTATTTGTTTCTTTGTTTAAAAAGTGTTTAAGTGGGGGACCAGCAGATGGTGTAATGATTAGGTTAATGGACTCTCATATTGTCAACTATGGTTTGAATCCTGAACCTAAAACTCACACTAGGGATGTGTGTGTACATGCCCAAAATCCTGGGGGGAAAATGTAGGAGAAGGGATTGTAGTGTGGCCATACCCTTTGAAGGGAGGAGTGATTTCTCACTTTCTGTTTCTCTGTCTCTCTCTGGCAACTACACACACGCTATAGCAAAAATATCTAAAAAAAAAAAAAAAAAAAAAAAGGGGGAAGCAGGGCCAGCAGGTGGTATAATGGTTAGGGCACTGGACTCCAAAGGGTTGACTCCAGTTCGAGTCCTCAACCTGGTGGCTTGCTTTCTCACTCTCTCTCTCTCTCTCGTCTCTCTCCAGTAAGCACAAATGCTTTGTAGCGAACAAAATAATAATAATAAATCATTTTTAAATGAAAATTTTATAATCTCTTGGTCCTAACTAATTCATCAGGTCTTTATTTTTCTTTTGAGGATTCCCACATACATGCAAAAATAAATATTAAATACTTTTCTCATGATAATCTGTCTATGTCAGTTTAATTCACAGGCCTAGTCATAAACCATAGAAAGGTAGAGGAGAGTTATTCCTGCCCTCCAGTGGGATGTTGCCACTAATGGCCTGCCTGCCAGCCATTCAGAGCTGGCATAGGAACAGGGTATGTTGTACCTGAAGATTCCAGACATTGGCTTTCAACTGGCTGATGTGACAAACAGGATGAAGTTGAAGTCCATCCTCAGGCATCCACTATGGTGAAGAGGAAGATGCTCTGATTTAGAGGAGCATGTGTGCCCAGAGCTTGGCTCAGGTCTGATCCCATCTGTGGCTGGTAATGCATCTCAAGTGGGATCTGACCAGAGCATCTGTATCATTAGAGTGGTCTGGAATAGTGTTGGAAGGTCAAGTCTCATTAATATCAATTGGCAGGAGCCAAGATGCTGAAGGTGACCCTGAGGTAGTAACCTTTTATGACATCATCTGTCATTGGCACCTCTGTGTGCAAATGTTTATTATCTCATCATTGAAATGAGAGGAGATATGGGGCAGATGGTAAGCCCGTAGATATAGGAATAAAAGGGAAGGATAAGGATTTTCGACAGAAAAAGCTTCTGAAAGCAAAAACTATAAGGAAATACATTGTAAGGAAGAACATACAGACCATTCTTGGCAGCTGAGGAAAGCAGGTCTGATTTGTCCAACCATTTGCTGCCCCAGGCAGACACAGGATGTAAGTGAGGGCTCATAACAATTTGATTTGCTTTAGCTTTGTGTCTTATTCATTCTTTGGCCTCATTTTCTTCTTCTGGCTCAGCTGGTCCTAAAAGAATTATGTTTATTTTACATTGAGAAACTGGATCCCTTGGGTTTCTACTTGGTTTGAGCAGCAGGAGAACCAAAAAGGAATGAATTCTGAACACTCCAGGAAAGCAGATTGAAGAAAATAGACTGGAGACAATGTTCAAAAGGAGTTCATTCAAGTGAAACCAGACCCTTAATAGCCCTGCCAAGGCCAGTAAATCCTGTGGTGTTTCCCCATGGATGGGAGTCCATGTCCCCGCCAGGAGGGGCCATCTGCCTACTTCAGTCTGTTCAGGAAGCTTCTGCTTCAGTCAGGACTTGCTATCCAAAAGCTCTTTTTTCACATCCTGGCTTCTGACTATTCTGTCCCCTACTTGGCTGCCGTTATTTGGCCATTTCACTGCTCACTGGCATTGCTGCCAGAGGTGGGCAGCTGGGGAAATTAAAGGAGCCAAACCATGAACCAGCTATTGTTGCTGCAGCTGAACAGATTTGATATAGGATTAGGCTGAAAGGGAGGAGAGGGGAACCAGCAGTTAGCGTAATGGCTATGTGGCTGGACTCCCACGTAGTCAACCGAGGTTCGCGTCCTGGACCCGGTGGCTTAAAACTCACGCCGGGTGTGTGTGCGTGCGTGCCCAAGATCCCAAGAGGAGAATGGCGGAGAAGGGATTGCAGCGTGGCCATCCCCCCTGGGGGGTGATTTCTCGCTTTCTGTCTCTATGTCTCTCTCTGTCTGTCTGGCGAGTGCATGTGCCCTATAGCAAAAACCTCTCAAAAAAAAAAAAAAAAAAAGGAGGAGGGAACTCGTGGCCCAAATGAAGGTTCAGGATGATCTGAGAATTTTGAGGGCTCATCCTGTCACTGTCCACTATGAAAATTTGGCAGTCGGTTATGCTTAGATCAGAAGGAGGGCAAAACTCAGAACCAGACAGTGAAAAAATAAATTTATGCTAAGTGATTCCTTTGAGAATTTGACTTTGGGAAGTAAAGGAAGAGGAGAAAATAGAAAAGTAATGAGTATGGCTACTGAGCAGACCATCATAATCTAGAAAAAACTGTCCCCTAATGTGAAAGTAGCCAGATGATTTCTATCATATGACCCTGACTCATCAACACCACATTTGATGAGTCCAGGAGAAGCCACCTAATTCAACAGCCTTTGAGTCAATACATGGGCTTATGGTTAACCTATAAAAAGTAGGACTCAAGAATTTTCAGAAATCTGAATTTAGAAAACTAGAAGAACATGTCTAGTTTATTTTACTTTATTTTTATTTTAGTTAAGATCTTGCTGTTTCCCAGGCTGGCCTTGATTTCACAATCCTCCAACCTTCAGCTCCTGAGTAGCCAAGATTATAGGCACACACCATCACTCCTGCTACACTTAATTCTATATAATAGAACTTGAGCCAAGACGTTCTTACTGGGCCATGCTTCAGGGAAAATTACAAAGAAGTAGACAATCAGAAGAAAATAATGGTTGGAAAGAAATAGTCTTGTTAGTATGCAACTGAAGCATATTAATGTTAGCGTGAAGATCTCTGAATTCCTACTGCTGCTGCCTTGGAAGCTGTGTTTAGTGTCTGCATTTTTGCTTGTGCAATTTTTCAAACAGTGATTAGTACTGAAACCACCAAATGTCTAATCATATCCTTAGGATGACCTGTCAGGAATGAAATAGTAGGGATGTCCACTTTGGGGGGCTGAGGAGAAAGAACATTGTCCCTTCACACTCTGAAGTCAATGACTACGACTACTGAAATTCAGTCTCACAGTTCCCTTTTAACTGTGCTGTGGAAAATGACATAGTGAAACGGCACTTGGCAAAGTAAGAATGTTGGTGAATTTTATCTTCTATGTTAAGTATTTTTCCTTTATGTCTACTTTTATTTAATGTCTTATGGAAAATAATATACATACAGAATAAATCTTCAGTGTATGACTTGACAAATTTTCACAAACTGAACCCACCAATGTAAAATGCCATCAGCGACCACATCCAGAAACAGCTTTCCCAGCTCGTCAGCAGCCTTCTGTTTCCATTTTCGGTCCTACTTCCTAGCTTTATGGAGGTGACTGTTCTCCTGGCTTTTAGCTCTATGGATTAGTTTTGCTGCTGTGTAATTTATATCAATGGAATCAAGGTACATATTTTCTGGTGCCTAGAATCTTGCACTCAATGGTATGCTTGAGAGATTTATCAAGTTGCTGCCTATAAGTGAAGATTCATATTGTTGAGCAGTATTCTATGATGTGAGTATGTTACAACTGTTTATTCTACTGTTGATGAACATGTGGATTGTCTGTTTTGGGTTATCACAAATATTGTTACTATGATTCTGATCACATAACTTTTGAAAAGAGTGGAATTTCTTTATAATAGAGTATGCATGCTTAGCTTTCATGAATACTGTCAAAGAGTTTTCCAAAGTGAACAACTGTTAGCTTATTTCTTCTTCAGCTCCTACATTTTTGTCTACTCCTTCCCATCACCATCTCTAAGCAACGAAATCCAAATCTTTCCTACTGCCTCTGACTGTCCAGGGTTTGGCTGAATATGCACATACATCCCCACTTGGACTTTGCAAAAGATCAAATATTCTATTCTATACCTTTTCCTTTGAAAACAATATCCTTTTCTGGAATCCTGCCTTTATTCCTCAACATGGTAGGCTAACTTAGCCAGTCAGCTTAGGCAGCTCCTTTGGGAAAGGCAACATCATGAGGGCCTAAGCAATGGCAACTTTGACGAGTTTCTTTTTTTCTTTTTCATATTTATTTATTTATTGCTATAGGGCATGTATGTGTGCTCGCCAGAGAGAGACAGAAAGACAGAAAGCAAGAAATCATACCCTGGGGCTATGGTTATACCATAATCCCTTCTCCTCCATTATCCTCTTGCTACTCCTTCCCATCACCATCTCTAAGCAACGAAATCCAAATCTTTCCTACTGCCTCTGACTGTCCAGGGTTTGGCTGAATATGCACATACATCCCCACTTGGACTTTGCAAAAGATCAAATATTCTATTCTATACCTTTTCCTTTGAAAACAATATCCTTTTCTGGAATCCTGCCTTTATTCCTCAACATGGTAGGCTAACTTAGCCAGTCAGCTTAGGCAGCTCCTTTGGGAAAGGCAACATCATGAGGGCCTAAGCAATGGCAACTTTGACGAGTTTCTTTTTTTCTTTTTCATATTTATTTATTTATTGCTATAGGGCATGTATGTGTGCTCGCCAGAGAGAGACAGAAAGACAGAAAGCAAGAAATCATACCCTGGGGCTATGGTTATACCATAATCCCTTCTCCTCCATTATCCTCTTGGGATTTTGGGCACACATGCACACTCGCCTAGAATAAGTTTTAAGCCACCGGGTCCAGGGCCTGAACCACAGTCGACTATGTGGGAGTCTATGACGTAACCATGACACCATCTGTTGGTCCCTCAACTAGAGTTTTAAAAGGCTACACATTTCCTTGATATAGTTTGCTACCTACACAAAAAGCAAGGGCCATCAGGAAGAACAGATTGAGGAAGCAGAGCTTCTATCATCCCTCAACTTTCATCACTTAGCCACTGCCATTTGTGCTTAGATGACACTCAGAAGGGCTCTGTGGTCCCATAGTCTATTAATTCACTAAGGATCTAACAGGGTTGGGACTAATAACAGGATGTTTTTAAGACATGATGCAATGGATTTTCTTCATTGAATGTTAAAAATGGGACTAGGGGTGCAGCAGGTGATGTGGCAGTTAAGGTGCTGGCTTACTGTAGTCTGAGTCCAGGATCTGCCAGCTTAAAAATCATGCCGGTTGCATGTGAATGAGTGTTCAAAATTTCAGGAGGAGAGGAGGAGAAGGGATTGTGGCATGGCCACTCCCCCTGAAGGTTGATTTCTCACTTTCCCTCTCTCTCTCTTCAGAGCATATGCACCATAAGGAGAAAGAGAGAGACTGAGACTGTGTGGTTTTATAGCAGGAAAACGCTGTACAGAAAGTTCTGGGTTTGCATCCAGAGATTTTCCTGAGTACAATGGACACATGTATGTCCATGACCTGAGATTGGTTAACGCTAGGGATAAATTGTGGCATGAGGACTCTGTTGGGAGTGCTATTTCTTTTTCTCTGTTTCTTTCACTTGTGGAAGCAATCAGCTTAAAAAAAAAAAGATGAGTAACCTAAAAGAACACCTATCATGATAATATGGTAGTAAGAAGTAAACAAACATGATTTTTATTAGTGTTAATGTTATAAATATATCAGTTTTATTTCTATGTACAGTTTAATTCAATAAATATTTGTGTTACATGTATAAAATATTATGAATAAGTTGTACTCCAAGCCTGAAGGAATTCATAGAATTTAGTCATTAGAATGACTATTCTTGAGGAATTATAAGCCATCAGTGTTTTAGGTTTAGTTTGCCCAGAAGCAAACCCCAAGTCAATGATGTGAGGGAAAGTCAAGTTGCTTGGGAGGTGTCATAGATGTTGACACTTTGTCTATAGCACCTTTTCCTTGCACTCATCTGGGAAGACCACAGGCAGTGATAGGATATTGTGAGGATCTGGAGCGGAGGAAAAATGTCAGTCCCTTGAAAC